TGTCCTTGCACTTGGCGTGGGGGGGGGGGGGGGGGGGGGTTTGTTGCCCCAGAAATCGGCGGGGGCTGGGGGGGGGGGCGGGGTCGGTTTAGGTTGGGGTAGCATAACTTCATTTCTTCTCCAGTGAGAGTAACATGAACAGGAGAGCAACAAAAGGCTCTTATTCTAGCCAGACGGCCTTTTAAAAATGTTTGAATAGGATTGCTGTTAAGGAAACAGCATGGATTTCTGAAGATCACTAAGGTACAAGTTAAAAACGGGGTCAAGCGCTGGTAATGGGATCTGGAGGAGGAATGTGGTGAGCAGGAAGTGCGGGGGGGGGGGGGTAAAAGCATGGGGCTGCAAGCGGTTTGCTGCTCACAGACATGCCTGGGCCAGCAAGGTGAGGACGCCCCACGTGCGGAGGAAGGGCCCATATCGCTGCACATGCAACACATGGCACATTGTGCTCAAGGGAGACTGGGATCCGCAGTGGCTTGGGTTTCAAAGAAAAGTCATTCCTCCGGCTCTCCCCTGGAAAGGGCCTCCCGACCTCTGACCTCTCCCCCACCTGACACTGGTTGCAGAAATGCTGCAGAGAAGCAGTTAGCAGTGTGGCGGTACTGAGGCCATTGGCCTGGTGTATTGTGTAATATTGTTCTAGGATGTATGTGCTGCTAGTACAAAGGCTGCATATTTATCACACACAAACGGGAGCTTACCAGAAAACACTATGATGTATTTGCTCCTTGAGTGTTAATCTGTGAGAAAACACATCCATTAAAACACAGTGTAGCACAAGCAGGCTCTTATCCATTCCATGTTCTCCGTTCCTGACATACAACCATCCTGCTGTTGGGTTGGCCATTTTAGAAAAATTAGAAACTTATTTCCTTATTTTTCCTATTTGTTCCCTCTACTGTAGTTTCCTTTATTTTCAAAGATTTCTGTTTGGTTCACAATCACATGATCCTTTCTGAACAAAGGCTGGAATGAAGATGTGATTGCAAAGTCACACACACACGGGCTCTTTTTGAGGACTTCACACCTAATCCCACTGTATTATATTATATTCCACCAAAATAAATCCAATGAGCACTGATAAAATATTTGATAACAGACTTTGAAAAGCTCATTTTACATGAAGGGATGTCCTTGCCTCAAGGTCTGGTTCTCATGATATGCTATCCTTGTTAGAATGTCTTCTAAAGCCAAAAAAGTGCCCTAGAAATAAGGTTTTGTTCTATCAGCTTTCACACTACTTTTTGCTTGATAAATAAGGTCTATAAAGTCTATAAAGATTTTAGGAGAAAAAAGTTCCCCATGCTCAAAACTAGGGTTCTGGAGAAAACATGGGCTAAGATGATTAAAAAAATACAAATTTGGGGTCTACAGCATCTATCTGTGGATCCCCAAAGTGTTAGCTCTCTGGATGGCTAGACAGGAATTAAGATTATTCAGAAAATGTGTGACAATAAGTGATTCTTAAAATCTCTTGTTTTCATTAATATGTCATGCAATGTGTACAGCAGGGATCTCCAACTCCAGTCCTGGACAGCTACTGTCCAGTAGCTGTGCAAGTGCCTGACTTATAAATACAGTGGAGTGACTCCATGATAGATTTAGGAGCTGTGTCCTTAGTGAACCATTTTTGGTGTATAATGGAATAATATAGATTTGTCTGAAAGTGTGAGTGTCATGTCAAGCGATGCATGCGACCTTTGACTGGAGATAGGGGCCTTTTTGGGGGACTTATTTGCACATTTCTTGTCAATGGAGCGCCAATAACAAGCCAGATGAAATCCGTAATTCACTCTGCATAAGTATATGTTTTGTCCAGAATGTTAACATGCTTGTTGATTATATCTCCTTCATTATTGGCACATGGTTTTAGCCAGTCTTCTGCACACTCCTTGAATTTTCCCACCTGATACACACGCACCCATGCACTGTACAGTGCTGCCCGTCCAGAGGCGGACTGAGTATTAATAGATTCCTCTCTTTATAAGAACCAGCCTTTTCTGCTGGATTAAAGAATTAAGCCCAGATTGTCAAGTAAGTAATCAGTGCAGAAGGGAGAAAACATGTGTGTCTGAACTGCACACAGCCACCTCCCATTTCAGGCTGGAGGAAATGAAAGAAATGCAGACAGGGCACAAAGACAAAGCTGGGAATACACACATAAATGAAAGTCATGAGTTCAGCTGCTCAGATCCCAATCGCTGTGAATGAGATGTTGCATTTTGTAAAACTCTCTCTCTCCCCCCTGCTCAGGGGGCTCTGTCAGGGATGGGGGGGGGGGTGCTCTCAACTTGCTCTGTACCCCTGGCACTTTCATGGTCCTGTTTGTTTGTACCTCTGTGATTGGGTGTCATCAGGGGCAGTTAGGGTCCATGTGCTATAACTCAGTCTCCGTGGACAGTGGACAGTGGACGCTGTCCACCTGTGGGAATCATGTGACTGCTAACCCTTCTTCTACTTACCCATGCTCAGGTGGGCAAAACCCGGATCACATGCTGCACGGGACCGGAGTAAAGCCCGGCTCTGACAGCAGGAAAGCTGGTGATGATGCCACCGTGGCCCCTGAGGATGCTGCTCGGTTCCTGAGCTGTCACTGCTCTGGTCACTGTCCAGAGGATGCCAAGAACAATACCTGCGAGTGAGTGGCCTGCCCATGACACCCCCCCCCCCACACACACACACACACACGCATCCACAGTCATCTATCTGGATGTGCTGCAGGTTGGACATCCCTCGTTCGTCCAGTTTGGTTTGGAAATCAGCGTATATATGCTGAATCATATATATGTTACTTCAGTTGTCAATGACATAGAAAAGGAATTTGTTAATCAGAGCTTTTTTTCAGACGATAAGTAACTAGATACCTAAATAAGTAACATTAGCTTAGTATTAAAAGGCAATATGTAATGTTTCAGATAACTGTTTCTACTGTACATTGTTTTTATACACTTACTATATAGATAGCTAAACAGCATTAAAGTTGCATTTTAGAGTTTTGGTCTAAAACTAGCAAGCTAACTACCTAAAAACCATATAAAACCTTGCAGACGCCACCAGAATCACACTCGTCATTGATAAAGTGTGTTAACATGCTAAGTGGCATCATTTTGTGATATTGTTACCAATGTTGCACTGTGAAGGTTTGTTTTTGTTAAATTTTTTTGTGGACTATAATGCGAATTAGTAGCCCACATACACAATAAGTGACTACGGTAGGGTTGTCACAAGAACCGATACTTGGTACCAAGTCGATGGCAAAATTTTTAAAACGTGATGGTTCCCGTTTTTCTGCAGTACTGTAGGTACCAGGGATGCAGTTCTTCCTGACCTGATGGTATCAGCTTACTCGTGAACCAGTTATACTGCTTTAGTGTAGCACCCCTGGTAAATGTGTTGTTTTCTTATATATTACAACTATAGCTAATGACAGAGTAAGATACCATGTAGTATTTAGTTGACATGTTTGTTAGTGGTTTTATTTCATATGTGTCCCTTATGGTGGCAGTAGTCCTGTAAATATTAAAAAGGTGAAGATGAATTTCAATGCCGTTCAGGACACCCCCCGCCCCTCCTCCAATGAGGCAGATGCAATAGCTGCCTCTCCTGCTGCTTCTTCATTGCAGTTTTATGATTAGACCAGTGAGCTAAAATATTTATATACTGTACACGTATTTATATAAAGTTACCTAGACTATGGAAGGTTTGGACATATAATGATGGGGTTTACAAACATATGATATGCTTACTGCCCGTGGTCCAACCAGTTATTGAGCAATTGCACAATCAGAGGAACACCTGAACTTGTTGCTTCTGTGACTCTCGTCTCTCCCCGTGTTTGCGGCTGAGCGCCACACATTTTGCAATTTTCAGTATTAAAATGAAAATGATGGGAATCATACAGAAATGACATTTAACAGTTCACTGGAAAAGTGTCTTTACTATTATTACTATTACTAGTATTATTATTATTTAAAGCTATTTTCATTGGACTAAGAATTATGAAGCTTTGCCTCCCCTCTGACTGCACAGCCATTATAGAATTGTGGAAAATGCATTTTTAAAAATGCTGGGGGAGGGCTCTCATTTGGACATCTCCCCCCCCTCCCCCAATGTCTGTACCATAGTTATGCCCTTGAGATTGAATAAAAAAAACTTTATAAACTTCTGATGTATTGCTTGCACTGAGCCTCCTTTCACTGTGTGCCTTTCTCCTTGTCTGCAGGACCAATGGTCAGTGCTTTGCCATCATTGAGGTGGATGAGCAGGGTGAGGTCGTCCTGAGCTCAGGATGCATGAAGTATGAGGGCTCCCACTTCCAATGCAAGGTATGGGGTGGGGTGGCAATTGGTAGGGCCTTCCAGGGGTGCAGGGCTTTCTGAGAAGGTACAGGCTTTTCGTTGCTCATCCTGTCTCTGGATAACGTCCCTGTCCCCTGGGTGCTGGGTTGTGAACCTTCTCCCATCACTATGCAGGATTCCCCCCGAGCTCAGACGCGCCGCACCATCGAGTGCTGCCAGACAGACTTCTGCAATCAGGATCTGCAGCCCACGCTGCCACCCCTCATGGAGGAAGGTGAGCTGTGAACATTGTGCGGGCCTGGCTCCCTCTGCTTGTCAGCGCTGTGTTTGCCATCTTCCAGTGATAACACTGTGCTTTTCCATGCTGCAGGTCCGGACAGTGTGCATTGGCTGGTCTTCCTCATATCACTGACAGTTTGCTGCTGTGCTCTGGTTGCCATCATGGTCATCTGTTACTACAGGTGATGGTCTTAACATTATAGTCGTAGTCACGTGTTCGGGTGGCCCTCTTAGGCCCCTTGATTGATCCCTGTGGAATTTGAGCATCTGTCACTTTTGGCCAGGTACAAGGGCCAGACAGAGAGGCAGTGCTATCACGGGGACCTGGAGAAGGATGAGGTTTTCATTCCTGTGGGAGAGTCTCTGAAGGACCTGATCCATCATTCGCAGAGCTCCGGCAGTGGCTCAGGGCTCCCCCTACTGGTGAGAGAGGACAACACAAGGTGGCTGTGTATCTGTTGGAACACCAAAGTGTGATCATCTGAGTCTGCTCCGTCTTCACTCCACCCGCTGCAGGTGCAGCGCACCATCGCCAAGCAGATCCAGATGGTGCGGCAGATTGGCAAGGGCCGCTATGGTGAGGTGTGGTTGGGTCGCTGGCGTGGAGAGAAGGTGGCTGTGAAGGTCTTCTTCACACGCGAGGAGGCCAGCTGGTTCCGGGAGACAGAGATCTACCAGACAGTCCTCATGAGACATGAGAACATTCTGGGTGTGTCTCACAGAAACTATGGGGGTGGACAATAAAGACATACCTGCCAAACAATGTATGCAAAACTTCTGCCATTGGGTGTATAGTATATATGACCTTAACCAGAGGTGGGGGGGACAGTGAAAACATATCTTCCAAACAATGTATGCAAAGTTTCTTCTGCTGTTAGTTGCTAAATATATGTATCCTCTGTGCCTGATCATACGCATGTCTCATGCCTCGGCCCGCAGGCTTCATCGCGGCTGACATCAAGGGCACTGGCTCCTTTACGCAGCTTTTCCTCATCACGGATTACCATGAGAATGGCTCTCTGCAGGACTACTTGAAGTTCAGCACGCTGGACACAGAGGGACTGCTACGACTGGCCTACTCAGCAGCCTGTGGAGTCTGTCACCTGCACACAGAGATCTACGGCACACAGGGCAAGCCGGCCATTGCCCATCGTGACCTCAAGAGTAAGAACATCCTTGTGAAGAAGAATGGCACATGCTGCATCGCCGACCTGGGGCTGGCTGTCAAGTTCAACAGGTATGGCCCAGGGCTGGTGGTCAGGTTCAGCCAGTGTGGAGATTCTTATGCCAGCTTCTGAGTGTTGATTGCATGTCTCCTGCCTTAATTATTGGCTCATGATTTAAAATTGGGACAGTGAGTTAATATAATATGTATGACAAAGTCCAGAGTTTGGCGATTAACCGTTTAAGTTCATTTTATTTTGACCACAACAAACTGCATGTCATTGCAGGGCTTTAGATAACGGATGATGGCTTTTCAGCACGTTATTTTCACCCCACAATAAGTAGATTGTCTACCTAAAATAGTAATGAGATGCATATATTGTGATGCCTAAAAGTTGGTAATCTGTATAAATCCAGCATATCCCTATGCTTATTAAATTCGGTTAGCGGAGCTGTATGCCACTGTTTTGGTAAATCATGGAAGCGATAAGCACTGAAGTGGTGAATGAAGAAACAGACAACTCGGCAACAATAACTTTTGAGAGGAGACACTGTAGTTAAATAAACGTAAAAAGATGTTGGTGGTGTGGCGATAATTTTTAGAGGTTAAAGTGTCACTTTTTGTAAATAGTTTTTATTTTTATTCTAGCTCATGAACGCACACACTGGCACCGTCAATCAACATAGATTAAGCTCACATTTTCACAGAATTTATTCAATGGAAATTCTAAGGTAGCAGGCAAACAATTTTATGGCTTTAATAATGAGTGTATTTAGCAAGCTAAAATTAAGCCTTTTACAATTTATGGCAGTCCAATATCCAGTGTGTTCTTCAGATGCTCGTGCACAGCGCTACCGCTGTGGCATACCATTGAAACTTTGCACGTACAGTGTAAAACCACCTTTTTGTTTTGTGGTAATTTGAACTACTGCCATAATTACTGTTACGACCGCTGTCCGGCGAGCAGGCAGGAAGTGGGTAAGGACGAGCCAAGCAGGCGAAGATCCAGGACACAAGGGTTTATTTACGGGGAAACCAGGGAAGTGTAGGGCAGCGACAGACTAACATTAATGACTTACCTAGAGAAAACGGACTCAGACACGGACTAAATACACAGAACATATCAGACTGATGGAAAACAGCTGGGCACAATCAGGGGAGCACACGTGATTGATCAGGGGGCATGGCACACATGAGGATCGTACGCGCAGGTCATGACAATTACGTAGTGATATTAAACGAAAACATTTGTTTTGCTGAGAATTTAAGCGTTTTAGAAATTATAAACGTAATTAAAAACTAGATGCTAAAAATTCAAATGGTCGGTGTTTGTTATTGAGCACCTAATGTAATTGCAGAGCAGAGCAAAATATTATATGACGATGTCAGAATTATGAGTGATAAAATGGATCTACTGTAAATGAACATGAGATTGCTTTTTTACTCAGTTTGTTAAAACCCCTACCAGGGGAGAAGCCATTCTCGATCTTGTTTTCTCTAATAACAAGGATAAGTTTCAACCAGCAATAATCAGGATTGGAAAATGTGAGGTTTTAGAACGACTTGACAGTATTGATCATTTCATGCATGGTTAAATAGGTGGTTAATTTTTGTGTCTGAAAAGCAAAGCTCAGAAGAAAAATATACAATGGCTAACTTTAATAGTATAAGACTGAAACTAGACACTGTAAACTGGATGAAGTTAATAACAAAATTGTTCAAGAGGCATGGGAATTTTTAAAAAGCATATTGTTGTGAGCGCAAGAGGACTTCCAGCAAAACTAAATCTAGGAAACTTCAATCATAGTGAAATTAAGAGTAAAGTCAGGAGGAAAAGGCTTCTGTTCCACAAATGGAAAATAACTAATGATGCTGGAATAATGCAGGAGTATCTAAGTCTACAGGTTGAGTTAAAGAAATTATATGCTGAGGAATGTGAAAAGGAAGATTCCATTGGATGCTATAAGGATTACATTTAAATTTAACTTCCAAAAGAGCTCTAAAAGCTCAAATCACTAATCTGTAGGATAGTAAAGGTCTTGTAATTGAAAATGAAATTGATATAGTTAATGGGTTTAATGATTGTTTTGCATGTATGTTCACAGTAGAGGACATGAGTAACATGCTGACTTTTATTACTAATCCAGTATTGTCTATGACTAATAAATGTATAACTGAAACTGATGTGCTACAAAGCCTAGCTAAGCTAAAGATAAATACATCTCAGGGCCCTGATCTTACCTATAATTATAAAAGCGATGAGGGATATTATTTGCCTACCTTTAACTTTAACGCCTTTTATTCCTAATTTACATTAACAATATTGACAACAATATATACAGTAAACTGGTTACATTTGCAAACACCAAGGTGGGTGGTGTAGCACATACCGAACTAGCGGCACAGAGGCTACAGCGGGATCTTGATTTAATTGGTGACTGGGCTGATACCTGGCCAATGAAATTTAACGTAGACAAATATAAGGTAATCCATGCAGGGAGCAGAAATATAAAGTACAGATATTTTATGGGTTCCACTGAAATAAAGTTAGCTGATTATGAGAAAGACCTGGGTGTGTATGTTGATGCTTTCATGTGACGTCCCACTCTCGCCAGTGTGGGGAAGCTATTAGAAAGCCCAATAGGATGTTGGGTTACATCTCTAGGTATGTGGAGTTAAAGTCAAGGAAGGTGATGCTAAGATTATATTGTGTGCAGGTTTTGTCACCTTACCTTAAAAAGGACATTGCTGCCTTTGAAAGGGTTCAACGTAGGGCTACAAGAATGATTCAAGGTCAAGGAAGTTTATTGTCATTCGCATCACATTTCCATGAGGTGGAACGAAATTGCTGGTCTTAGAGGAATGTCTCATGAGGAGAGGTTAGCTGAACTGAATCTGTTCAGCCTTGAGCAAAGGAGTCTAAGGGGGGACATGATCCAGGTATATAAGATTCTAACAGGTCAGGGTGCTGTTCAGCCAAATAGCTACTTCAATATTAGTTTAAATACTAGAAGTTGTGACCATAGGTGGAAATTAGCGGGAGAACATTTTAAAATTAATTTGAGAAAGCACTTCTTTTCACAGCATGTAGTTAGAGTATGGAATAGTCTTCCTGATAGTGTAATGCAAGCTAAGACCCTGGGTTCCTTTAAATTAGAGCTAGATAAGATTTTAACAATTCTGAGCTATCAGTTGAGTTCTCCTGAAATGAGCTTGATGGGCCAAATGCCCTCCTTTCATTTGTAAATTTCTTATGTTCTTATATTAAAATAATTTTCAAAAACGATGCGTCAATTTAAAATATCGATGTCAACCTATTTTTAGTGTCAACATTGTCGACTAATCGCGGCAGCCCTAGATTAAAACATGGCTGAACTTCTCCTGGAATCCACAGAGTCAGTGCCCTAAGGAGGGTGGATAAGGCCCCTGGCTGACCATTTTTACTTGCACAAATGAAGTAGGTTTGGTAGAAATATAATAGGTGTGAATTTGGTTTCGTTCCCTTGTCAGTGACACCAACGAGGTGGATGTGCCTCTGAGTATGCGAGTGGGCACCTGGCGCTACATGGCCCCTGAGGTGCTCGATGAGAGCATGAACAAGAACCAGTTCCAGGCCTACATCATGGCCGACATCTACAGCTTTGGGCTGATCGTGTGGGAGATGGCCAGACGCTGCCTCACGGGAGGTACGGCACATAAACCCCCTAAACTACAAGTGAAACAACATGCTGCCAATTTGCTGAATTCCTCCAAGAGCAAAAGATTCCTTTGTTTGGGTAACAAGATAACAAGATGGCTGACCAAGGCAAAGAGAACATCAGTTTGAATCCTGATCTATTTTATACCTGTGCAGCATTTAATTGATGTGTTTCAGTAACACTTCTTTTCTGTGAAGTGTTTCATGCTTCCCCTTGGAGCCTCTTTTGACCTGCCTTCTTGGCCTCCTCAGGCATAGTAGAGGAGTACCAGCTGCCCTACGATGAAATGGTGCCTTTGGACCCATCCTACGAGGACATGCGGGAGGTGGTGTGTGTTAAGTGCCTGAGGCCAACTGTGTCCAACAGGTGGAACAGCGATGAGGTGAGAGTCCAAGGGGAGAGTCGAAAAGGAGTGTTAAGGGGCCGACTGGGGGTTTTATTTTTATATAGTGCCCTTCCATATCAGTTTGCCCCACAGCACAACATAAATAAAGAAACGTCAAAATGTTAAAAACAGTTACGCATTGAAACACAGCTTTATTATGCAGCATTAAGCAACAGGAGGAAAAAGGACAATGGAGGAGATTAAGCTAAAATAAAGCTGGCGCTCCAAAGCAGACACCCCCCCCCATGCTAAAAAAAAGTGGGAGTTTCATCCACACCACAGAATGGCAGGTTTGAATTGTCTGTTTGAATCTGGGTGACTGTAACCTGAGGTGGCATTTCCTGCCCCAACATCCCCCTAGTGCCTGAGAGCCATGCAGAAGCTGATGTCCGAGTGCTGGGCACACAACCCCGTCTCACGCCTCACCGTGCTGCGTGTCAAGAAGACACTCGCCAAGATGATGGAGTCTCAGGACATCAAGATTTGAATACCGGATGCCAGCTCAGCTGTGTGGAAGTGGGCAGCTCTTCACGTGGCCCTGGCAGTATGATGCAGAGCGACCTCTTAGTGAGAGCAGGGGGCTGGACAGCTGAGTCTCAGCCCAGTTGCTTTGCCAGGTTGTCTGCAGAGCTTCTCCTGATGAGGACAAACTGTGCGCATGCTGCTTTCTGTGAAAGCCATTACAGGACATGGCGGTGGGGGGTTGGCTGGGATGTCAATGAGGAATATTAATAATACCAGGCCAAGAAATGTTATCAAGGACATTTGTTTCCAAATACTCATTCTGCCATTTTAATAGTTTTTTAATAATAATATTTTAATTTGTAAGATGTCTGTGAAGATTCTCAGTCATCCAGGTGAAATTAACTGTCTGGTGGTTGAGTCATGGCAACTGGACTTCTCTCTTGTAAGGTAGAAACGTTTCACTCATACTTTATTATTTCACTTAATGAAACATTTCTACCTTACAAGAGAGAAGTCCAGTTGCCATGACTCAACCACCAGACAATTTGTAAGATGTGTTTTTCCTGCCCTGTCAAACTATAGGCTGGATTTTGTGTCAAAGGTAACAGGCCTTGATTAGTACGTAAGTACACAGCTGCTGACTGAGGTGCCCCTGTGATCCTGCTGTTATTACCTCTGGACTGTATTCAGGATTGCTGTCTGTGCCCAGAGTACGTCCATCAGTGTGAACGGCACCCATAATATCAGAGCCAGTGGCTCATCCAGCCCTACTGTGACAGCTTTTCAAAAGATGTCTATAGCCCTTTTGTTTAGAGAGGATGATTTAGAGACTGCAGATGCTATGTCAGTGGGAAAAGATATTCTGCCCAAATAGACCATATGGCTGAATTTTCTGTGTTATGTTTGGTTTTTACATCAGGTGTGCTGTTGAAAACATTGACAATGTTCTGAGATTTGAGGCTTATGGGTAATGATAGTACGCTGTGTTTTACATGCTGGAGTGCCTTGCTGTCGTCTTCATGACCTGTGCCTCGTCTAAATTTACCCAGGAGCTAAAATACACTGAACATATGGGAGTTCCCCTCTGTGGGTGGACCTGTACTGTGTTGATTGGTGAATCATTATTAAAATATCTATAGGCAGGCTCAGCCGAAACTACTTCACACAGCTGTCATGTCATTCTTTTATTTGGTGTTTGGGCTGCACTACTATGTGTTTGTACTCACTCTTGCTGTAAAACGTCACTACCGGGCATCACCAGGCTGATTTCAAAACTGTTTAATTACTGCCCTAATCAGCTATCCACAGTTCATCTACATACAAAATCATATGTTTAAAATCATTTATATATTAATTGCCATAGTACAGTGTTATCTCCAGAACAACTAGAATTTAGTTTAAACATAAATCCTGATTTAACCATTCAACCTCTAATGTTGTATGCATTTTCCCCTTAGGCAGACTGGTTAGTATGTTTGTTACACCCACTACAGGCCTTCCTCCATACTGGGCACATCACCTNAACTGTCTGGTGGTTGAGTCATGGCAACTGGACTTCTCTCTTGTAAGGTAGAAACGTTTCACTCATACTTTATTATTTCACTTAATGAAACATTTCTACCTTACAAGAGAGAAGTCCAGTTGCCATGACTCAACCACCAGACAATTTGTAAGATGTGTTTTTCCTGCCCTGTCAAACTATAGGCTGGATTTTGTGTCAAAGGTAACAGGCCTTGATTAGTACGTAAGTACACAGCTGCTGACTGAGGTGCCCCTGTGATCCTGCTGTTATTACCTCTGGACTGTATTCAGAATTGCTGTCTGTACCCAGAGTACGTCCATCAGTGTGAACGGCACCCATAATATCAGAGCCAGTGGCTCATCCAGCCCTACTGTGACAGCTTTTCAAAAGATGTCTATAGCCCTTTTGTTTAGAGAGGATGATTTAGAGACTGCAGATGCTATGTCAGTGGGAAAAGATATTCTGCCCAAATAGACCATATGGCTGAATTTTCTGTGTTATGTTTGGTTTTTACATCAGGTGTGCTGTTGAAAACATTGACAATGTTCTGAGATTTGAGGCTTATGGGTAATGATAGTACGCTGTGTTTTACATGCTGGAGTGCCTTGCTGTCGTCTTCATGACCTGTGCCTCGTCTAAATTTACCCAGGAGCTAAAATACACTGAACATATGGGAGTTCCCCTCTGTGGGTGGACCTGTACTGTGTTGATTGGTGAATCATTATTAAAATACCTATAGGCAGGCTCAGCCGAAACTACTTCACACAGCTGTCATGTCATTCTTTTATTTGGTGTTTGGGCTGCACTACTATGTGTTTGTACTCACTCTTGCTGTAAAATGTCACTACCGGGCATCACCAGGCTGATTTCAAAACTGTTTAATTACTGCCCTAATCAGCTATCCACAGTTCATCTACATACAAAATGACTGAAATCTCAGTCTTCATTTATATATTAATTGCCATAGTACAGTGTTATCTCCAGAACAACTAGAATTTAGTTTAAACATAAATCCTGATTTAACCATTCAACCTCTAATGTTGTATGCATTTTCCCCTTAGGCAGACTGGTTAGTATGTTTGTTACACCCACTACAGGCCTTCCTCCATACTGGGCACATCACCTTCAGTGATGTGTGGTTAATTGTGCTTTGCATTAGAAGCTGCAGCTGACCAGCGGGGAGGTTTTGTTCTGTTCATTGCAAGATGTAACCCTGTTTATCCCACTAATCAACCTTTTATCTCCATATTATCACAGTAGCAAAGGACACATGTGGAAAAAAAACAAATCCCAGGCTGCTGTTGCAGCCAGTCTCACTCAGTTTGGAAAAGCTGGCAGGTGTGGGCAAGCGTACACAAGTCAGCTATCACCTACAACTATCGCCTAACGCGTCTGCTTTCTGGATTGTCCGGTGGGGTAATGTGACGCCTGTGATTCCATGGGTGGAAAGGTGGCTTACTTTACCTGCCTTTCTAACGGGGAACTAAATTAGTCTTGCTCTCTCTTTCCCATCATGCAATGTACTCTGTCTCAGAACAAATACATTAATTGAATATACATTTTTCCCCAGAAGAACAACAGGCCACGTATTGGAATTCATTTAGGTTCAGCTGGTCACTTGATACTGCTACAGCAGGGCAACAAACAAGCTCTTCATCAGCCTTTCTGTAATATGCAATGAAACCATGTAGAATAATTTACTCACATTTTGTACTTCATCTGGTGTAATCAGGTGCTTTATTAAGTTTACAAAGGAACAAAATGTCTACATAGATCATTTTTACTTTTATTTAAAGTAGCAACGGTAGGCTCCTGTGTTCTTTCCCCTGGAACCAAATACTATAAAGAGTGACGCATGCGCCCTCTGCTGGACAAGAGCAGTACTGGTCAGCGTACTGGTATTCGTGTATGTTTTGACTGCTTTCTACGTCCATGCAATGTTAGGGTTGCTCTGATTGTGGCGGTGGGAGACACCTTGTGGCCAGTGTGGCCTAAAACCTGAAGGAGCCACCTGGAAGGGTGTCTATCCAGGAATCTTCTGCTTACCTAAATTCATTTCAGTTCAATTTTATTTTTATAGCACATTTTCACATTACATTTTCTCAAAGTGATTTACATTAAGCCTGTCCAAAGCCCCTAGTGAGCAAGCCAGAGGTGACTGTAGGAAGGAAAAACTTGGAAAAAAGAAACCTTGGAAGGAAGCAAACTCAAAATCCATCGTTTGGCCTGCAGAACTCAGATTAACGAAGTTCTGATTTACACACTCCAATTTGTTAAGTCTCTGTGTAAATGCAGGCAGAAGAGGGGGCAGACAGGCAGGTTGTGGCAGGTAGTAGGGGTGTTACAGGCAGCAGGATACACAGGATTTCTTGATTTTTTTTTGCATTTCCAGGCAGCATACCCCAGGAGGCATTTGGGAAAAGAAAGTACATTAGCTAAAGAAGGGGTGACTAGAGTGCAAACAGTTAGGTGAGTGCAATACTGGCAGGTCTGGCTAAAGCAGCATAAGTACGTGGGAGAGGCAGGTGGGAATGCAGTCAGCACTGACAATACAGTTCATCCAAAGCCAATGGCACCGATCCCCACCCAGGTCTGCATCATACACCATACACCATAAGCCTAGCTGGAGGTGAGTAGTGAGCTAGAAAGAGAATGCTTATAAGCTACACTAAACAAGACTGTTTTTAGTCTTAGACTTGAATATTAAGAGTGAGCTTGATATGCCTTGAACCATGGGAAAACTATTCAACATCTGTGGAGCTGTGCAGGAGCTGTGCAGGAATTCGTCATAGCACAAAGACTTGCAGAAGAGGAAAGCAGAAGAGGAGTGCCAGAGATGACTGTGCAAGCTCTACAGCCAATCTTGAGAATAAAACCAACCAGCCTACCCAAGTTTACTGGAATCAAAAGGGACTTCCATCGATGGAAGAGAGACTGGGGGAGTCTGCAAAGGCAGGGGGAGTCGACTGGGTCAGCTGAGGTGAAAAAGTTCCAGCTCCTGGACACCATTGATGAGAAAATATGCAGAGACTTGCGGTTGTCTACTTACAGTACTGCTGAAGACATGTTCAGAGTGCTTGAGAACAGATATGGAAACAAGTCTACGATTGCCTTGGAGATAATTGAGGACCTGAAAAAAGTTCCTGCCCCAAAGTCAAATCAGCCAAGGAAGGTCATTGACTTGATTCAAACTGTAGAGAAGGCCCTGGATGATCTAACAGAGATTGGAAACACAGGAGCTATCAAGAATCCTCTGGTGATCAAATCTATAGAAAGCAAGTTACCAGACAATATAAAGAGAAATTGGCTTGTATTTATGGTCAATCCAGCAAATGGGGTCACACCAGACAATCATTTTGATAGCCTTCTTGGGTTCCTGAAAACACGAAGAAACCCTAGAAAAACTAGAGCAGCTTGGAGTGAGTGAAAAGCCTGACAAGAGGCCTGCTTATTTGGAGAAGAAATATGCTTCGACACGATCCACAAGGAAAGGTGGATGTGTTGTCTGTGGGGATGAAAAGCACAGAGAGAAGATTTTCTTCTGCAAGAAGTTCAAAGAACTGAAGCCTGATGAAAAGCTGATTCCTGTGGAAAAACTGGGAGCATGCAAGATGTGCTTAGGATGTCACAGAAAAGATGATGAATGTAAAGATACTTACCTGTGTAGGAACCAGGACTGTAGGAAAGGGAGCTCTGCAGACCACCATTTCTTCCTCTGCCGGAGAGGAGACTCTAAGCGAAGCGAAGCAGCCAAAACAGGAAAGTCAAGTATGAGAAGACATAAGCTTACAGAAGAGCAAGAGAAATTTGTGTCTGAACTCTCCCCAGAGATGGCAGAAAAGTTCAGGAAAGTTTTTACCAACACCACTGCAAAAACATACTGTGCTGACAAGAATCATCTTGGTGTGATGGAGTCAAGTGCATTGCAAGAGCCACCAATCATTCTAATGCTGCTGGAGGTAACTGTCAATGCAGGACAGAAAGTTGGGACTCTCATAGACTTGGCATCAGACACTAACTACATCATCCACAGAGCTGCCAGAAGATTAAATCTACGGAATAAAAAGATCACTCTAGTTGTTCATGGAGTCGGAGGAATGGCTATGAAGGTCAGAACCAAAAGATATCTGCTCAGAGTAAGGGTCAAGATGCACACAGGTACAGAAAGAGCTCATGAGCTTGTCTGCTATGGCTTGGATGAAATTGCCAAGGTACACAGAGCAATCAAACCTGAGCAAGTCAAGAAGTTCTTCCCAGAAACCAGCTTGGAAGATCTACAGTAAGTAGACCAGATCGCATTGAACTGCTTATTAGTCACTGCGAAGGGAGGCTTGCACCACAGAGAGTGAAGGTGGTTGGGGACCTTGTCCTATGGGAGGGCCCATTAGGAAAGACTGTTGGTGGAGCACATCCAGATCTCTTTGAAGAAGTGGATATGGCTGCACATGCATCTGAAACACACTTTGCCCGATCCATGAGGGCATTGGCAGTGAAGTATCAAGAGATCACTGAAACCCAAGAAATTAAAGCTGAAACCAAAACCACAGTTGCTGGCAGAGAATTTTTAGACTGGTGGAAATGGGACAGCATTGGAGTAGCTTGCGAACCAAAATGTGGAGGATGCCGATGCAGCAATTGTCA